AGCTTCATGCATACATCAATACCCTATTTCAAAAATAATCAACATGATAAAGGGGCTATCATAATGACATAATTAGTAGCGTGTCATCTTATTTAGCATGAAGCCATGGGTTCAAACTCCAGTACTAGGAAGAAAAAAAATAGTGTACTTTGCTTTGCAGAAACTTATTTGATGCAGCCTCATTTATGAAGTCTTTCTTTGATTTGCTGTTTCTGAATCTTTACTCAGAAAGTTTCCCACTGTGCCCAGGAGCCCTAATGTTTTCTCTATACTTCCCAAAATAGTTTTAGGCTTTCCAGTCTTACCTTGATGTCTTTAATCCATTTTGAATTGATGTTGGTGATTCTGCATGTGGATATCTAGTCTTGCCAGCACCAATTTTTGAAGAGGCTATCTTTTTTTTTGGGGGGGGGGTCCGGTCGTGGAGCCTGAAATCTGGGCCTGGGCGCTGTCCCTCAGCTCTTCAGCTCAAGGCTAGCACTCTACCACTTGAGCCACAGCACCACTTCCGGCTTTTTTCTTTTTCCTTATGTGGTGCTGAGGAATTGAACCCAGGGCCTCAGGCATGCAAGGCAAGCGCTCTACCACTGAGCCACCTTCCCAGCCCATAGAGGCTATCTTTTGTCCAGCTTATATTTTGGGGTCCCTTATCAAATATTTAGTGGTGGTAGGTCTGTGAATTTATTTCTGGGCCTTCTATTCTGTTCCATTCATCTTCAATCCTGTCTTAATGCTGGTAACAAGCTGTTTTCATTACTCTGGCTCTATAGTAGAGTATGAAATTTATTATTGTTATTCTTCCAGCACTATTCTGCCTGTTAAGGATTGCTTTTGCTATTCAGGGTCTTTTGCTCTCCCATATGAAGTTTTTTACATTGCTTTCTCTATCTTGTTGAATAATGTTATTGGGATTTTGATGGCATTGCATTGAATGTATAAATTGCTGTGGACAGTATTGCCATTTCCATGATTTTAATTATTTCAATAATTAACAATAAGAAACATGGAAGGTTTTTCCATTTCCTTAAGTCTTCTTCAGTTTTCACTGTAGAAATATTTTACATTTTTGCTTAATTCACAAGTATTTTATTTTTGTTGATGTCATTGCAAATAGAGTTGGTCACCTGATTTCAATCTTTGCTGGCACACAAAATAATTTACTGGTGTTTATTTTGGGTTGATTTTATACTCTGTAAATTTACCAACATTTTGAATTACCTTGAGTAGCTTAACAAATGAGTCTATAGGGGATTTTTAATACAGGATCATGTCATTTGCAGAAAGGGATAGTTTTGTTCATATTTCCCTATGTGGATCCCCTTTATGTTTTATTCTTGCTAGGAATTCGGGTACTATATTGAAGAGGAGTGGAAAGAGTGGGCAACCTGCCTCATTCCCGATTTTAGTTTTTCACTATCAAGAGTAAATTTGGCTGTAGGCTTTACATACACAGTCTTCATTATATTGAGGAATGTTCCAAACACAAAAGACAGCCTACAGAATGGGAGAAAGCTTTGCCAACAACAGATCAGACAATGGCTTAATATCTAGAATATACAGAAAACTTAAAATTAACCCTCAAAAGAAAACAACCTGGTTAATAAATGTGCTAATGAGTTAAAGAGAGTCTTCTCAGAAGGAGTAAAAATAGCTATAGACACATGAATAAACATTCAACATGTCAGGCTATAAAGGAAATGCAATCTGGGTGTCAGTGGCTCACACCTGTAATCCTAGCTACTCAGGAGGCTGAGATCTGAGGATCATGGTTCAAGGCCAGTCTGGGCAGGAAAGTCCATGACTTTCTTATCTCCAATTAACTACCAGAAAACCCAAAGTGGTGCTGTGGCTCAGGTGGTAAAGATCTCACCTTGAGCTGAAGAGCTGAGGGACAGTGCCTAGGCCCACAGTTTAAGCCCCATGACCGACAAAAAAAAAGGAAATTCAAATCAAAACATTGAAATTTCACCTCACCACAGTTACAATGACCATTTTCAATAAAACAAATGATAACAGATGTTGGTGTTGATCAGCCAAAAGGAACTTTTATACACTGTTAATGGGGATGTGAGCTTGGTCAGCTACTCTGGGAAGGAGTGTGGAGGTTCCTCAAAACCTTAAACATCAAACATCAAACTCCTTTATAATCCAGCTATTCCACTCCTGAGCATGAACCCAAAAGATTACAAACCAAGATACACTAAAAACACCAGCACAACTATGTTGATTACTCCACTATTTATTGTTGTCAAGTGTGGAATCAGCCCAGATTCCCCTCAATAGATGCATGGATCAAGAAAATGTAGTCTATTTACACAATAGAATATTTCTTATTCATCAGAAAGAATGATACTGTGGGATTTATAAAGAAATAAAAAGATTTGTTAAAACTTTATGTCAAGCGAAGCAAGTCAGGCCCAGAGAGTCAAAAGACTGGTATTTTCTCTATTATTTAGAAGCTAGATTTAGCTGAAACCAACTTAAGTACATTAGGCTATATGCAAGTGTATGCAGATATATTAACTGAAATATGGTAGATTCAAGGGAGACCTCAAACATTGTAAATCCTTAGAAAGCCAAAATCAAAATTTAGCAAGATAAAGCATCAGGAAGTGGGTGCTCAAAAGGGATGGGGGGAGGGGTCAAGTAGAATGAGGTGGGAGAATAAAGAGGAGAAGAAGGGTAAAATGCAGACCAGAATCCAATGTATTTTCTATAAAATTAAGGAGAAGGGTACAGATGAGTAGGGAGAGATGGTTGAAAATTTTGAAAGGGGTGACATTAATCAACGTATGTTATATTTCTAAACTGCATTGTAAAATAGAAACTCCTTTGTACAACTACTTAAAGGTAATTTAAAAATTAAAAAACAAAATTATAAAATAAAGTATGCAAGAAACAAAAGAAATAATAGTAATAAAAAGTCTATTTTAAGAAAGTTTCAACTCCAGAATGTGAAATGTCCTCCTCATCTATGTTCCTTCTTTTATTTACCTTTGATCATCACACAGACTTCAAATCTACTCATTCTGAAGACTGATTCAATTGCTACTACCTTACTTTCTCAACTCAGCATTTTAAATACATTTCCTATAACATCTATGTCTTCTATCTTGCATGTTTTTACTAAATAAAATATACTATAGTGCCATACAAAATATACTAAAATACACTGTTATGTATATAGATATATGTATATGTGTACGTGTGGGTATGTTTTTCTCACAAAATGAAGATCTGTCTCTCAGTCTATCTGCTTATCTGATCAACAAAAGACTCCTTGCTACTCCAAGAAAAGTTTGATGGTAAACACATGGACCTTGACAATTACTTGAAATGATGTTGACTATAAACTCATGATATATTTTCTCATTTATCTACACGTTAGTTTCTTCATCTGAACAAAGAATAATAAAGCTGCTTCATTTTCCTAATTTTAAAATAATAGTCTTGTATATTAGTTAAAGGATTAATGATTTCTTGTTATGAGCTTTTCATTCCAGGATTGAGTGAAAATGAAATTTTATTAAATATTAACTGTCTGGAATTTCCTTCAACTAAAAAGTGTACAAATTGGCCGGGTGCTGGTGGCTCACGCCTGTAATCCTAGCTACTCAGGAGGCTGAGATCTGAGGATCATGGTTCAAAGCCAGCCCGGGCAGGAAAGTTCATGAGACTCTTATCTCCAATAAACTACTAGGAAACTGGAATTGGCTCTGTGGCTCAAATGGTAGAGTGCTTGCCTTGAGCTGAAGAGCGCAGCAACAGCACCCAGGCCCAGAGTTCAAGTCCCACGACTGACCAAAAAAAAAAAAAAAGTGTACAAACTTAACTATTTCTCATCTATTAGTTTGTATCCAATAGTATATAAACCAAGTTTAACAAAAACCTATGTAAGAAAATTATATTTATATAAATATTATAAAAATAGTAGATTTAAATGACTTTCCAGTTTTAGTCAACTGGTAGATAACAAGTTGCCAAAGGCCTCTATAGAAACTTTTTAATACAAGAACATATTTTATTTTCACACACACACACACACACACACACACACACACACACACACATGGCCTGGGGTGGCCTCTGAACTCAAACTAAGTAGCTAGTATTATAAAGCAATGGCTTCTTTGATTACTTTCAAATATCAACTAGTTAATTTATATTTTCTGCCTCTCTCTTGAACAGAGTTCCTAATTCTTCACTTTTCATTTTGTGGTTTGTGATCTTTCTCTTGAATTATTCTTTTTTTTTTTTTTATCGGTCGTGGGGCTTGAACTCTGGGCCTGAGCGCTGTCCCTGGGCTCTTCAGTTCAAGGCTAGCACTCTACCACTTGAGCTACAGTGCCACTTCCAGTTTCTGCTGGTTTATTGGAGATAAGAGTCTCATGAACTTTCCTGCCTGGCTTGAATTATTCTTAATAAATAACTTGACAGAAAATGTATGTTAGCCAATCATTGTCAAAACTTTGCTCTTTCAAGTATAATTAGGCAATATTAAGATACATTAAGCAACTCAAACATACATAAATTATTTCAAAGTACTTTCATGTAAATATAATTATTCATTTTAATGAATGCAAGAGCAAATGCAAAGACTAATAGCTTGAAATATTCACAACCTCTACTTGTTAATTCATTTTACTTTCTCAGTAATGTTACAAAGTCACTACAAAAATAAATTATTTATCATGCATGGTGACATGGGTCAAGTGTTGCTCCCACTTCCTCGTAGGTAACTTTGAAAGTAGCCCTGTGAAACCATTGCCATTTCTTCCTCAGGACTCAGTGAGATCCATGCATTACAAAGTCATGAATGTATCAGTGATTGTTTGTTTTAGGGCTACTAGCTATCTTTGACTGTACATACTTCTGGGGTCACCAAAATGCTATTTCTACCAATTTGATCACTTATAGCCAGAAATACCTTGTAGTTTTAAGCTCAGTATCATATTGATAAGGCAACAGGAAAAAAATTAGACATTGAATCATATACTCACGGAATGCTCTGTAAAATTCTTCAAGTGCCAGGTGCTTGTCAGTATTGAAATCATCATACTTCAGTAGATCATACAGGGTGCATTCAGAAAGATCCTTGCCTATTTCTTCCTGCTTTATCATCTGACAAGAAAATTTTAACCAGACTTTAATATTTGTATCACAAATACTGCTATAATAAAATTAATTATATATAACAATGACATAAAAATTGGTTTTAAATATGAGTGGACCGAAGGCATGATCAAAATAGTAGAGGGCCTGCATACCAAAGGACCTGGGTTCTCTGGAATAGCCAGAAAAAAAGATAAAATAAATAAAAAAATAAAATAAAATAATAAAATTTAAAAACTGAATGAATGAAAAAAACAAAATAAATATGTACTTCAACAAAGAAAAACAGAATCAACCTAGTGAAAGTCCAGGTTTTCATTTACAGAACAATTATTTGTAACCATTTCAATGACAACATTATATAATTAATGTATGAACTTACTTAGAATTTCATCCAAACCTTGTAATACGAAAGTCTGACACTGGTACTGAACATTTGTATTTCACTCTCCTACATTACTCCACTACTCAAGTAAATATTTCTACAGGAAAATTATACCATGTGTCTCAATGACCTGTGTCAAGATAAAACAGTGCTTTTTCTTCATACTACTTGGAAAAATTGAAGTTAGAATTGTTCTGCCTCTACCTCCTCCCCAACTGAAATTTCAGTCATTTGGAATTATGCGTTACTTTCATGGTCACAAAAGGGCTATTAAGCAAATGATTGTTTCTAAGATCCAGATATAATTGATTCATCAATTGATGATGAAAATCTACCCAAGCATGGGTGAGGAAATAATCAAATTTCTTTTTTATTGGCTGCTCAGTCCATCGACTGTGGCTATAGTTTTTTGATAGTCTATTGATTTTTTTCTGTAATAAAACAGCTCCCCACAATTTTTCAGACAATCCTGTCAATTTATTTGACTAGTTGAATAACTGTGCCCAACATCATTCAGTCTTTTTCACATTTTCCAACATTCAGAGGAAGTCATTCATATTGTTTGAAACTGGACAGCACAGTTTATTGCTTTGTTTTGTTTTCAAAATGGTGTGGTGCCAAGCATCAGTGGTTCCCAAATGTAATGTTAGCTACTCTAGAGACTAAGCTCTCTGGATTGATGTTCAATGGTAATCCAGGTATACAAACTGAAGATTTTTTTTTTGGTCCAGTCGTGGGGCCTGAACTCGGGGCCTGAGCGCTGTCCCTCAGCTCTTCAGCTCAAGGCTAGTGCTCTACCACTTGAGCCACAGCGCCACTCCTGGCTATTTTCTTTTTGCTTATGTGGTGTTGAGGAGTCGAACCCAGGGCCTCAGGCATGCAAGGCGAGCGCTCTACCACTGAGCCACCTTCCCAGCCCACAAACTGAAGATTCTTATTCTCAGTTAACCACCAAAAATCAGGAAATGGGGCTGTGTCTCAAGTAGTAGAACCTCTCTGCCTTGAGCACAAAAAAATTGAACCCAAGAAGGAGTATGAGGTCCTGAATTCAAGCTCTAGTATAGGCACACATACACACACACAGAAGTGATATAGCATATCACATAAGTGATATAGCATAGTCTCTGAAGTTAGCCAGAGGTATATTACACAGTTAAGTGTAACATTCAACACATTTGTATACTTTTAAAACACAATGTAAAATTCAAACGTTATTCTTCTTAGACTATGTCTCTTGAGGTAATTCACTGCAGCCTATGTAAGCTGTGTGTGTTCACACCAGTCTATCATTTCTTTGAGTAAATCACATCATTATATCATCACATCATTATATCAATGATAAATTGCTGATGCCATTTTCTAAGTCTCTTTGGACACTTTTGAAGTGAAATTGTAATGAGCTTTAGATTATTATCTTTAGTAGTTGTATAAAGAAGTTGCCATTTAACAAAGCAGTGAATACAATACATCATCACAGTCACTCCTTTCAACATTTTCATCCATCCAGCCAGACCCACCCCTTCCTTTATTTTTCTTATTTTTGAAGCATATACATTGAATTCTTGACTGTGTTCTTCTCCTCGTCCTCTTCATCTATACCTTCCCCTTTGATCCTACCTCATGTCTTCTAAGTACCTGTTTCCTGATTCTTATTTGCTAAGCTTTGAATTTGCCTAAGAATTACACTATTTGAGTATTTATCATATTGTAATCACTTGAATACCACCTAGCATGTTTACTTGTAGGTTTAGAGATTAATTCTACATTCTACATATGAGGGAAAACTTTGTCTCTCTGGGCTTGACTTATATTTTTTAAAATATAATATTTCCATTCTATAGTGCATTTTTATTCACTCATGTGAATATTCCAAGTTGTGCTACATTGTTCATCCATGAACGGTGGGGATATCTGAAGATGGAGCTCTGTGCATGGACCCCTGGTAATTGGTTATTCTGGTGCCTCTCTAGATACCTTAGCCACAACATAAAATAAGAGTAGGTACGCTGATTAAAAGAACCCATATAACGGAGTGATTTCTCTATTCTTGTGTAGAGTATTCACATTTTACTGGCTAAATTTATATTTGCTACCTTGAGGTAGGGAAATCAAAATTTATGTGGTCTATATACTTCTTATAATCATACTTTGTGGCTGGGGAGTATTGCAACTTAGAAGTTCATAAAATCCAGCTGGAGAGATGAACAGAAGTATCAAAATTCTGGAGCCATTTCTCTATAAGCCTGTGGGGAAGCAAAATCTTGCTTCTCTATTTAAAAAGCAAGTTCACTCTCAGTCATTTCCCATCTGCTACTGGATTGAATACACAAAGTGGTTTTTCTAGATGCTGTATTATCTAACCCAACTTTGTGTTTCCTAAAGATTTGAATTTCTGGAATTGAGTAATTAGAATTTTGATACCAGAATTTGGTCATGTATTTTGGTAATATTTAGTGACTCCTATTCTCATAGTAATTTGTAAATAGCAATAAAGGAGAATTTGTCCAAGTCTCATCCTTTATTTTTTAATTTACTTCAGGCAAAATTGTGTATTAGTCCAAGAGAATGAACTTGTTATTTGCTAAGGTGGCAATTATCAGTTTTTCTAATATAATTATAATACCCTAAAATTATTAATCATAATAATACAGTTTTCTTATATCTTGAGTATGAAAAATGCCTTTTTTATAACTTTTATAAAATAGAGTATTGTAAATTTAAGCAAGAGTAATCAGGCAAAAACGAACAAACTCAGAGGCATCACACTGGAAAGTATGGCATAAATCATCCCTCTATAAAGACAGTACGCTTCCACATAAAGAGAATCCCAAAACATTAAACAAAAAAAATTACAGGTAAATTGAGTAAAGTTCCAGCATATAAAGTAAATTTACGAAAAAGAAATACAACACATCAATATACCAATAACAAATTATATGAAAAAGCAAACAAAGAAGTAATCACATTTTTATTGTCACCAATAACAGTGCTTAAAAAATTCAACTGAAGGGTGAAAAAATTCTTTACAATAAAATCTATAAAATTTAATAAATGAAAATGTGACTGGATGTGGTGCTGTACTGCAATAATCTACACTACTTACAGAAGTAAAGCCAACCTGAAGAAAAGTTTCTGTGAGTCTCTTATGTCCAATTAATTAAAAAAGTAGAAGTAGAGCTGTGGCTCAAACTGGTAGAGTGGTAGCTTTGATCAAAAAAGCTCAGGGACAGTGCCCAGGCTCTGAGTACAAGTCCCATGACTGACTAAAACACACACACACACACACACACACACACACACACACACACACACACAGAGCATAGAGTGGTTTAGAGGCATAGCTCAGGAAGTAGCACTCTGGTTGAGAAAGCATGAGGCCCTAAGTTTAGTCCTTAGTATAAGAGAGAGAGAGAGAGAGAGAGAGAGAGAGAGAGAGAGACCCATTAAATTTCACTCTAAAAATGAAAAATAAATGCTCAATGTCTAAGGATTAAGAGTTTCCAATTTTTTAGTGTTCCTATATCTAAAAATGATCTACAGTTTCAAAGCAATCTCTATCAAAATACAATGACCTTATTCACAAAAGTATAAAAACAATCCCACAGTTCATGTGGAAACAAATCACATATATACATACACATATGCACACACACACACATACACACAAGCAGGCCAAAACAATCTAACATAAGAACAAAGCAGCAAATTACTTTAAGATAAATACGTGTTTTAAATATATACTGCAAAGCTGTATAAATCAAACCATCATGGTATAGTAGGCAGACACAAAAAACCAATGGAACAGAATAAATAGCCTACTGGAAAAACCATGTATCTCTAGTCAAGTGATCTATGAAAAATTTCTCAGAACATGTGTAGGAGAAATGACAATCTCTTCAGTAAAGATTGTCAGGAATATTTGTTATTTATACGTGGAGGAATGAAATCAGAACTGTCTCTCCCTTTTCAAAAATAATCTCAAGTGAGATTATGAATTTAAAATGATGAAACTACAGAACAAAATACTTCATGATATTGGAATTGTCAAGGACTGTTGTTTAAACCCTGAAAACACAGAAAGCTCAAACAAATGGAGACAACTTAGACTTCCCAATGCAAATAGCTTCTGCACAGAAAAAGAAATCATTAGCACACCAAAAGAAGTGTTTACAAAATATACATCTGATAAAGATTTAATGTTCGAATTACACAATGAACTTTCACAAGTCATCATTAAAATTCTGAAAATGGCCAGTAAACCTACAACAACATTTCAAAAAGAAACCCTGAAAATGGCCAACGGGCCTGCAAGAATCTTATTATCACTGATCAGAAGGAAAATAAAAAGACTCAGTAAAAATAAATAAATAAAAATAACACAAAGTTAATATTGAATATAATACAATGTAATCATGTATTGAAACATTATCCATCGTCTGCAAATATGTAAAGTATTAATAGTGTAAAAATGAAATGTAAAAAAAAATAAAAATAAATGTAAAAAAAAATAAAAAAAGTTTAAAAAAAATGAAATGTTTGGGGCTGGGAAGGTGTCTCAATGGTAAAGTGCTTGCCTTGCATGCATGAGGCCTGGATTTGATTCCTCAGCCCCACATAAGCAGAA